TGGGAAATAAGATGTTTTTATAGTTAAAATAAGTAACTTGTTAGAATGCTATGATGTAGATGAATTGAAATAGAAATTTTAAGATTACTTAATATCCTCCTCTGATTTAACTGGTGGTAATAATATCTTCCATATCTCTGATATTTGGGTTGAGTCACTTCTGTTGCATGTGTTGGGTGTAGACTCGATGAACCAGGCAGGATTCAGTAATCAATCTCTCTCTCCACCTACCTATATTACTTTTTAGAATTTTGACTCTGTCCAACCCACCCTATTGTGTGGTTGTGTGTTAATGCATGCAGTGCAATTGCTGAGCTTTTTTCTAAATTACTTACCTTCGAGGGATCAATCATTCCGACCGTAGCTAAATTCTTATGTTCCGACAATCTGATTACCTACTAGTTTGACCTATGCAGTTGATCCTACAGTCATTGCAGACAGAGACAAGCTCTGTAGGCGAAATTACCCAATTAAGCAAAATAATATAATTTACAAAATACCAAGCAATGACTGATTGTATTTGGTTGGTAACACTAGTATTATTTCTGAATGTACTTTATCTTTTATTGATTTTATTCCAGTGTCTAATCACCTATTTTTACTCATGTATATAGATGAAGCAAAAAAGTTGTGTGAGTGACTGCCTTGATATGATTATGAGTGACAATAAATTGTGTTCGAAAGGTCATCAGTTAACATTACTGTATAACACTGTGTGATTTATCAAAATAAAATCTTATGTATAATGGAGGAGTGATTATTGACTGATATATTGCAACACACTGTCCTAAATAATAGAGATGTAAGACATGATCGCTGAACATGGACGATACGAAGAAATAACAGGATATTTATCATGGGTATATTTTTTACGTTCAATTAGCAGGAGAAACATGATTGGTGATAATGATACTAGACGTTGAGTCTCAGGTTAAGGAGCGAAGTCAATCGATGAGGCATATCGAACTAGATTTTTTTCAAATAATAGAGGAGATTTTTAGCTCAGGTGGATAATTTTGATTCCGTTGTGTTCTTTTTAGCTGGTTGATTTAATTGCGAAGCTTTCGTTGTCCTTCTAGACAGCATCTTCAGCGCACGTTTTTGCATGAAATGAACATATTTGAATTCTCCATGAATGATATAATTGTATTGGTGAAGAGAATGGAAGAAAAATACCCACTAACCGTCTTCAAAAAGAATAGATACCCACACTATTTCAAGTCATAACACCAACATCAAAGATCACAAGAAAATTCACTATACCACATATGAAAAATATCTCTGAAATAACAACTAGAATATTAACACCGTTTGAAATAGATACAGCACACAAGCCAGTCAGCCAGCCAGCCAGCCGATAAAATCACTTCATTCGATATTGTGCCAACCAATAGATCAACTCAACAGAAAAAGATGAAGTCAATACCATTTCCATCCAACAGAAAAAGAAGATAAATTTGATACCATTTACATAATAAATTGAATGTATGAACTGCAATAAACACTTCACGGGTCAAAGTGGGCGTCCCTTTCGAATCCGAACCCAAGGACATAAATCAGCAGTAAAAAGACACGATATGTATTCTTTCATATCGATGCATGGAGACAATTACGGACACCAATTTAATTGGGGTAATGTAGAAATCTTAAATAGGGGAAACACCAAAAGTTATGCCAGGGAATTCCTAGAAGCCTGGTACTCAAGTGAATCAGCCACCGATTAACAAACACATTAATTACTATAGACCAAATTTACCAGCTAATAAAAAGTAAATCACATGACCTTCCACCTTCGAAGTCAATAAAAATGATCAATAGAGATGTAAATTAACAACCAATCACGACAATGGTTGCCAGGAGATAGATACAATTACATCACCATTCATGGAGAATTTAAATGAGTTCATTTTATACTAAAACCTGAGCTGAAGGGGGATGTTGTCTAGATGGGGGACGACGAAAGCTTCGCAATTAAATCAACCAGCTCAGAGAACACGACTAAATCAAGTAGATTTTTCTATCAACAGTTTACACACATTTATGTCCGCATCATCACAGAATATTCATAAGACATTTTCCCCTCATCTAAACATCCTCGTAGACATACGCACACACACAAACACAAATCAAGGTGAAATGAATTAACCACGTTATGGTAGCATAGTGCTTAATTGTACTTCCTTTGGTACACAGACGTGAAAAATACACTTGATCGATCATGTATACACAGTGAACACTCATCATACTTTCATTTGTTTTTTTTTCGTTTACAGAAATGCCACTCTAGATTTCTTACAAAATCAAAACTAAATGTAAGATGAACTGGTTACGACATGTTTTCAACTAAATAATACTCTTATTGGTATTCAATAAATTTTCTCCGCCTACATTCAATACTTGGATAGGCTGATGGTACAACACATGCTTGTAGGGTATGACTTACAAGCTGCTGGCATACAAGCTAATACTTGTTCATTTAGCCTGAATTAAATTGGTGGATGGTGGACTAGCAGTAGAATCTAGGATGTGCGTTTCGACTTATTCGGGGCTCGTCAACTGGATGTATGTACACTCCCTGAACTGAGTGATGGTGTTCTCACTGGGACTCGAACCAAGTACTTATCGTTTCAAACGCCAAAGCGTTGTCCACTAGACCACTTGGGTCACGAGAACCACCTCTTGTGCAATGGGTATTAGTAATTAATGAATTCAACCTTCGACTTTGATATAAGTATAAAACTTGGGCACTGTGGTAGAGCATAACTCCATTGTGGACAAGATTTTATTTTGATAAATCACACAGCGTTACACAGTAATATTAACTGATGCCCACGTTTCGAGCGCAAACTATTGCTCATAATCATATCCTCTGCTGTTGTCTTATCTATTGTGAACCTAGTGCTACTTCTATGTTAGGAATGACATCTTCTGGCTTTAATTTACTAACTGTTACATTGAAATTTAGTCCTTTCTCGAGTACTTTTATATCACTAGAGCATAGTTCCCTTGATGAAAGGCTGATCACCCATTTCGTTCTGTCAATAGAGGATGAAACGTTGACGTCAGTTTCATTTATTGTGTTCTTTTCTTTCATTAGTTTTTTGAATTTTTTGATTTGTGTGGTTTTTGATTTTCTTAATGCTGATTCTCTAGCTCTTTCGCATGTTTCAACAACAATTACATAATCTTTCTCACTGACCATACATTTGAGTTTGTGTTTGAATTTTTCAATTTCATTTCGTATATTATTTAGTTTCACAGTAATTCGATATAGTTCTTCTCTTAGTCATAATCTACTGACATGTTCAGCTGCTGATGTTATTTTTCTTGAAGTAATTGGAGTACGTATGCGTAAATATTTTGGAATTATATGATTTTTTAAACATCGACTGTTAAAAATCCGATGGTTTGTGAATCTTGCTTCTGTTTGACAAAGTCGTGTGAGTTTATTGATAAGCTTCCTAGTAGGAAGACCATATGTATTACTGATATAAGTATAAAACTTGGGCACTGTGGTAGAGTATAACTCCATTATGGATAAGATTTTATTTTGATAAATCACACAGTGTTGTACAGTAATATTAACTGATGCCCACGTTTCGAGCACAAACTATTGCTCATAATCGTATCCTCAGCAGTTGTCTTATCTATTGAATCCAGGATTCCACTGCTAGTCACCATCCACCAATTAAATACTAATTAAATGCCCAGACATCGTCGAAGCATCTGCTCAAGAAGCCGACATGTCAACCTGAGACCGAGCACTTCGGTACAATCAATCGACGGGAAAAATCTAAGATTGAATTAAATCAATATGACCTGTTGCACAAGAGGTGGCTCCCGTGGCCCAAGTGGTCTAGTGGATAACGCTTTGGCGTTGGAAACTATGGGCACTGGGTTCGAGCCTCAGTGGGAACATCATCACTCACTGAGAAATGCAGGTACATCCAGCTGACGAGTCCCAAATAGGACAGGTGAAATGCGCATCCTGGATTCCACTGCTAGTCACCATCCACCAATTAAATTACTAACTGTTACATTGAAATTTAGTCCTTTCTCAAGTACTTTTATATCACTAGGGCATAGTTCCCTTGATGAAAGGTTGATCACCCATTTTGTTCTGTCAATAGAGGATGAAACGTTGACGTCAGTTTCATTTATTGTGTTCTTTTCTTTCATTAGTTTTTTGAATTTTCTGATTTGTGTGGTTTTTGATTTTCTTAATGCTGATTCTCTAGCTCTTTCGCATGTTTCAACAACAATTACATAATCTTTCTCACTGACCATACATTTGAGTTTGTGTTTGAATTTTTCAATTTCATTTCGTATATTATTTAGTTTCACAGTAATTCGATATAGTTCTTCTCTTAGTCATAATCTACTGACATGTTCAGCTGCTGATGTTAATTTTCTTGAAGTAATTGGAGTACGTATGCATAAATATTTTGGAATTATATGATTTTTTAAACATCGACTGTTAAAAATCCGATGGTTTGTGAATCTTGCTTCTGTTTGACAAAGTCGTGTGAGTTTATTGATAAGCTTCCTAGTAGGAAGACCATATGTATAACTGATATAAGTATAAAACTTGGGCACTGTGGTAGAGTATAACTCCATTATGGATAAGATTTTATTTTGATAAATCACACAGTGTTGTACAGTAATATTAACTGATGCCCACGTTTCGAGCACAAACCTTCGGATTTCCCGTTAATTGACTGGACCGAAGTGCTCAAGCTCAGGAGGTGGACAAGTGGTTTAGCGAATAACACTTTAGCGTTTGAAACGGTAGGTAGTGAATCTGAGTTTCAGTGGGAAAAGCATCAGTGACTGGGAAATGCAGGTACACATCCAACTGACGAGTTCCAAACGGGACGAAACGCGCATCCTGGCTTCCACTGCTAGTCACCATCCACTAATTTACTTCAAGCTAATACTTGTTTTGCTAATTTTTTCAACGTTAAAAAGAAAATATGCATTCACTCATCCGATTAACTTACCCATGACCACCTTTATTACTGAATAATTCATGAAAAGGAAATTGTCGGTCGATATCACGACGTATTTGTTCACAATTAGCTGGTGTTCCTTCTTGCATACAATAATTAGTATATAATCTTTCTGGGTCTAAATCAATCGCTGGGACTAGAGTAGCTCTAGCATCTTCATATTCATTATTATTGATACCACCGATGCTTGTTGACTGATTAAAAGATGAATCAGTATTTGGTGTATTTTGCTGATGTTGACGATGATATAAGATTGGTGATGACGACGATGCGACAGACGACGATATTAGTATGGAAGTACATGAATCAGTAGAAGAGGCTTCAAGGATTTGAATTTCATTCTGGAAATGATTTGTACTGGAGCTGTCTGTACACGATGTAGTACTTAAACTGGCATAACCACCAGAATTTCTAGTAGTATTAGTATTAGTCGTAGTCGGTGTAGTTTTCACGTCATGATTCGCAGTCATATCAACAGAGTTGGCATTTGTAGCAGGCGGTGAACATGATTTGCCATGATGTACAGATGCCATTGTTGAATAAGCTGAATATGGTAAGGCTGGTTGATGATTGTAACTAGAGTTAACACTGTTCAGTGCACTGCTAGGCAAATTATGAAGACTGCTGTGCGTTGTTGTACCAGATACTGATCGTAGTGACTCACCGTTGAAAACAGTTCGTTGCCATGGGGATACTCTGTTAGTGGTATTAGGACTCTCAGAGATTTGTAAGGAGAAAGGAAGTGCTGATGGATAACCATAACTGTCACGTGACTCATCAGTGATTTGATCTTTATTTCTTCGGATATGCAAAGAGTGGAAACTAGAGCCTTGACTTAACCTGGAATTATCAGTTCTGAAAAGTAAACAGAAAACAATAAAAATTATTAAAATTGTCACCAAGAGCATATGGCCTGTGCTACTGACAAGGTGCATCAGTAGTATATAGACGCAGATTGATAGGAAGCAGCCAAAATTAAAAACAACATTTTAAATCAATGGCTGCAGAGGTCGACGTGTTTATCCCTCGAATCTGGATTCAGTTTACGTTGTGGTCAGGAAATAATCTCATTAAAAACAACTTTTCGTCCCTTTGTTTGAAAGTCGACAACCAATCAGAACAGATTATTTCAGGATTTCATCATGAACTGACATCGGTTAGAAGACCATTGGAAAACCTGGGAGTACTGGACAGTTGTTTCGTCCGAGTTTGGGACTCCCCGTCAGTACGGACCCACTGAGGTTCGAACCTCAGTTTATGATGAAATCCTGAAACCAGTCTAATCCCTGCAAACCAACACTTGAAGAACAGATTACTATCCCCTGACCTAACCGACCTTCAATGTGGCTAAAAATGTATAAATATGGTGTGTTTCTCCTTAATAATAAAGTTTATTACCAAGTCTGTCGGGTCCTCCTATCACAAATACACTATAGATTGAAAAGAACAAAATAAATAGTTCACCGAAGACGTTCTTCCCGGCAAATTCATATTTTTTAGATATACAATTGAGCTTATATATAATTTTTTGACGAAAGGGGATAGTAACAAAAGCGATGAGTTGTCATAATAACATAAATAATTTATTGAATGAGTTGTAATCAGGATGAACATAGAAACGAAGAAAACTGTGATGTGACTTAAGAGTTCGAAAGTAATACAAAAGTTATCAAGAGTTGAAAAAAACGAATTAACAAAAACTACAAACCAACACTTGAATATCAATGAGACGCTCACTGGCGACTGACCCTATTCAGGTAGCTAGTTACCTGGGGTTCTAGTGGGAAGTCGTAACCAGTAGGGTGCAGCAGGTCGGGTGTGAGGACAAATACTCGTCGAAGACATTGGCTAGCGGTCGCCCTATGTCGTGAATTGGCAGAAGTTAGAATTCATGGACTGGCCATTGAATCGGGTCCCAGTGGCTTAATGTCTACGAGCTCGGTCGCCTAGTAACCAGAAGGTCCTGGATTCGAATCCCGGTGGGTGCGTACTGATGAAGAGTCCCAAACTGGGACGAAACAGCTGTCCAGTACTCCCAGGTTTTCCAATGGTTCTCTAACTAATGTCACCTTATGATGAAATCCTGTAACCAATCAAATCCCTACAAACCAACACTTGAATAACAAAAACAAAGTTGGTAGGAAAAATGAGACTGTCACCATGATAGTAGAAGTAGTTGAATAATTTTCTTTTGTGTGAAGAGCTCCAGTTTCTGTATCTGAATGTCTGAGAGATCCAGCAATGCAGAGGAGACGAAAACGTATTACCTATGGCATGTTGTTCTTCACTCGGCAGATTACTTTGAAGGAGGAGTTTGTTAAGATAGAATGACCAGAGATGACAAGGCGTTCAATTACCGCACTCCTTATAGAGCCACTGCTAACTAACAATCTTAACAAACTCTTCCTTCAAAATAATCTGCCGAGTAAAGAACAACCTGCCAAAGATAATAAGTTTTCGCCTCCACTGCTTTGGTGAAGCTCTAGCCATTCAGATACAGAAACTGGAGCTCTGAACACAAAAGAAAACTATTCAACCACTTCTAATATCATGGTAACAACCTCGTTTCTGTCAATATTCTTCGTTTTTTATCCGTTTACTTTCAGGGTGGAACATAGGACTTCATGCTAGAGCTTTGAAGTTTCGGTAGTAGTGGTTTTATTTTTACGGGGTGGGGTTGCCCTTCCACTGGCTAAGCGAGGTTTAGGAGTGCTTCAGCCGTGAGTCAAACACCAGACCACGTGCGCGGTTGGCGAGTGTCCTACAGCTGAACCACCAACGTTTTCGGTTTAATGGGAATGAATGTTGGTTACTTAACTGTAAATATCTATTACTCTGTGGAGATGTGACCCATTAGTATAGACATTTGATTTCTGCCCAGTAGGGTCACGAGTTCGAACCCCCCTTACTGCCAACTGTATGAAATTGCAAGCGGTCGCTGAACAGCATTTGCTTCTTTTTTTACAACACCTATTTACTCAACCAACTGCCATTCCATCAATTTGATAATGAGCCACAAACCTACTCTATGACAGCTGGAGTGATATACTACTTAGCTGTCCAAACCTCGGCGCATGGAGGAAGCAGGGTTCGAACCTGTGTGACCCACATGGTTGTAAATCAAGCGCCTAGACCGATGAGCCACAGCTCCGTATTAAATGTTTGTTGATAAATAATAATGAATATCGGTAATAATAATAATAACTTTATTCCAAACAGTACTTTTGGTACAAATATGGAATTCTCAGCATGTAGTACAATATTGTATCTGATATTCTCATTACAGAGGTAATAATTAAAACAGGGCATTTTACATTGATAATAATGTTAAAATAAGAATATGAAGATAAAAATTAAAATTTAATTGAAAATACAAACAACAATAATGAAAAAAAGTACAAAAAGGGCCGTTAATTTAGTGTTTCGCAGTAAGTTAGTTGTGTCCTGCCTTACTTAAACTTTCCTCATCACATAAAAGGTGTGTATGTGTGTGTGCTAAATAAGGGTATTGCATTATTATTTCCTTGGTTTCCGAGTGGAACATAGGACTTCAACAACACATCTCCACTTTGTTCTATTCTCTGCTGGCCTCTTCAGCTGCGTCTACAATTGTCCATAATCTCTCATCTCCTCCTCCTAACACGATCTCCTCCAAATCACCCTCGCATCGACGACCCACTCGAACGATGACCTACATTGAGCGCGATGTCATTCGATGGCCTCCTCAACGTATGCCCGATCAATCCATCTCCATTTTCTCCTACATATTTGTTGAGCAATCGGCTCTTGGTTGATTTGTTGCCAGAGTTTCTTGTAACAAACCTCGCCTAGTTTTCTAGCTGGTCCCAAGCCCGAGTAAAGAGGGAGGTTTGGGCATGGGGCTAGTGACCCTACCCTAGAAAAAACTAATCAAACTGCTAAAGAAACTTTAACGCACAATAAATAAGGTATTGTAGACTTTTTATACGTAGTCATCCAAACATAAAGTCTTCTATAGTTGCTGCTAGTTATACCCCATGACATGTAGAGAGTAGTGTATAAAGAGGATAGCTCAGCGTCCGACAAGATAAATATTCGTTTGCATACTTCTTGCATAAATCCATGTGCCTGTCTATAACAGTATTAAGGAGTAAGTTAAATGACACTCTCCCCACCCTACTGCCGTTTTCAAAGTTTTTCTTAAGCAGCCCAGGAAAGAATAAGTTGGGGAGGGGGGATGTGTGCAATAAACAAGAAGGTAGAATACAAGAATTAACAAACTGTACAAGGAGACACTGACTGAGTGATACCAGATTGTTTTAACGTGATTAAGCAGAACCGTAAACGAAATATCATCCTGGCAATTAAAATGATGTGGGAAAACCACGGAAAAAAATATCTGAGGAAATACACAATCAATTCAAGGTAATTTTTAACATTCAACTTTGAACAAAACCTCGCCTAGATTACTAGCTCACTCTAGTTTTCTAGCCGGTCCCAAGCCCGGATAAAGAGGGAGGGTTGGGGCGTGGTGCTAGCAACTCCACCCCCAAAACTTAACCAAATCGCTACAGAAACTTCAACGCACAAAATCGAAGACTTACAAGCGAAAACCGACAAACTGGTCGAAGAAGCAGCCGGTGAAGACAGGACTCCAGGTGAACATAGACAAGACGGAGGTTATGAAAATAACCAACCAACAACAGCATCAACATCCAACGCCAATCACCATCAACGGGAGGGATTTGAAAGAGGTTACTTCATTCACTTATCTCAACTACAGGAGGAACCGACGAGGATGTCAAATCGAGAATCGGGAAGGCGAGAAACACATTCATCAACCTGAAACCAATCTGGAAATCTTCGTCACTCAGCATCGACAACAAAATTCGGATTTTCAATACAAACGTCAAGTCAGTCAGTTCTTCTATACGGATGGATCAGAAACTTGGCGGGTCACCAAGAATATTTTCAACAGGTTGCAGACCTTTATCAACAACTGTCTTCGCTCCATACTGAATATTAGATGGCCGGAAAGAATCACAAACAAGAAGCTATGGGAACAAACAAAACAAGAACCAATCGCCCAACAAATATGCAGGAGAAAGTGGAGATAGATTGAACACTCTCTGAGGAGGCCACTAGGTGACATCGCACGTCAGGCCCTCGAGTGGAACCCGAAAGGGAAGTGGCGAGTGGGACGTCCAAGGGTGACATGGAGGAGATCGTGTGAAGAAGAGTTGAAACAGTATAGACTGACATGGATGCAGGTGAAAAGTACAGCAGAAGACAGAAGCAAGTGGAGACGTGCAGTTGAAGCCCTATGTTCCACTAGGAACCCAAAGGAACAATAATAACTTTGAACAAAACAAAGGAGAAAATAGGAGTTAGGCTTGCGAAAATTCTATTGTTTCTACTGTCTAAAACAAAAGTTAGAAATTCACGGTCTCATTGGACAATACTATACTACACTATTATTATTATTATTATTATTATTATTGTTGACATAGCAACGGCTCCATTTCATTTAGCGATAACAGATTTGAAAAATTCTTTTCACATTTCCATAGTATGAATTAGTCATCAACACAAGAGGGTAAATAAAATCGGAGTGTCTGGAATTGCGTGTTGTATTACAGAACACAATGAGTAATATAAATTACAGAGACACAGTAATAATAATAATAATACCACCATTGTCTACATAGATAAAAGTATTGGAGAGAAATTCAGAAGTATCAACGCAAAAGACAAAGACAATGCATGTATATATATAACCAACCAACAATAATAACCTACATGCATGATATGCTAGGTGGAGGGAAAAGTATTTTTCAACTCTTAGAGTATGTATGACTCATCAACAGACAAATCGA